GCTTGGCATAAAAGTAATACAGCGCCAGTCTGTGAAGTACAATTCAACTCTGACACTTCCGATAATTCAAATAACCTACCTGCAATGCTTAACTAACCATTTGCACCTACAAGCAACCCGTTGCGGAGCCTGTGAGGTTTGGTTCCTCTGCAGATAGAAAGGAGTGAGAGCCAACCTCCAACTCGACCGTGGACCTACCAAGGTGAGGCCATGCTCTCTGTGCTTGTTTCTCTTGTTTACAAAACCACTGATCATCTCAGACTTCTACCTCACGTGAGAATAACCATCCTGGGCTCAGTCTCCTCCATTTCATCCTAGCCGACTGCTCCATCAGCCTCCTCAGACTTCCTCTCAGATCATGAACATAAGGCAATTTCCATTTGATGATGTCAGAAAAGATAAAAAGTGTAAATAGCCCTACAGAGACAAATGAGCATGCTCCACTACCTCCATACAGACACCAAAATACATCATTCTCTCCTGAGGACAACGGAACAGCAGCATGGGGTCACACATGCCTTCTTGTAACAAGACTATATCCCATTCAGAACAAAAGTTAAAAGAAACTCAAACTCCATTTCACTGACTGAATCCTCTTTTCTCTTCACACCAGGAAGAAAGTCAGTATCTCAGCTTGCAAGGCGGTCCCAGGACCTGTGCATGTTTCTCTGTCTCATATCTCCCAGCCTCTTTCCAGCCATTGATCAAAGGGAAAACATAAGTAACCGAAACTGTACTCTTAAGAATAAATACTTTCATCGTGCTTATTCTTTTTTTTTTTAAATATATTTTATTGATTTTTTACAGAGAGGAAGGGAGAGGGACAGAGAGTCAGAAACATCGATGAGAGAGAAACATCGACCAGCCGCCTCCTGCACACCCCCTACTGGGGATGTGCCCGCAACCAAGGTACATGCCCTTGACCGGAATCGAACCTGGGACCCTTCAGTCCGCAGGCCGATGCTCTATCCACTGAGCCAAACCGGTCTGGCCATCGTGCTTATTCTTGATGAAGCATTTATAAAATACAATTATAAAGCCCAGAGATAGCATTTTAGTATATATCCTTTTACACATTTTATATACATAGATACACATATGTAATTTTAAATTTTTTGCTAGAATGGAGTATAGCACAATGTATCTAACTTGGATTTATCAAAATTATATGAAGGACTGTAGATGTGAGTCCAGAACATACAGCTGTGTTTCCTCTGAACTCTCATAACAAGTTAACAATAAGGAGGACACAGCCATGCTTTCCATTTCCGCCCTGAACACGGTATGACTCTGGCACATGGAGGGCTTCAGGGAGCACAGGGCAACCTGGGGGCTCTGTGGTAACAGCAGCACCTGGGTAATGGTGGCCCCACAGGTAGCCACTGTGCCCAGACTCACCTCAGGAAGCCTGCCTGACTGGTACATGACTGGGAGGTGCCTTGGAGATGTTTCATTAAACAGCTAGGTCTTGAGATGACTATTTTATTTTATTTTATTTTATTTTATTACTTTGGTATTTACTGAATATCTAGTTAGCTCCAGGTGGCTGTGTCAGCCTCAGAAAACTGGGGCGATTCTGGATGAACACTGAGAAAAGGAGAAGGCCCCACATGGAGAGAATGGAGGAAACAAAGAAATGAAGGCAAGACAACAACTAAATTTAAAAGAGGCTTACAATTTACCAAGTAATTTTACGTACACCATCTCATGTAGAAGGGAGTCCATAAAAAGGCAGGTCTAGAGTCGATACTGTGGAACTGACAAGACCCAACTGGGGGTTAGACTGGTAAAGGCAAGTGAGTGGAAAATGGGGAAGTGATATATTCACTCTCCCAACAGCTTTCTGGATGGAAGCAGACACCTAGACATTACTTAGAATTTCCACACGATGGTACCTCTCTTGGACCTACCGGACAGAGGCTAGAACTCACTCACCTGCCTTGTGACGAGTTTCCAGGAGTGTGTCCCTAAGGTGCGAGTGCTTCACAGCACGTTTCTAAATAACAAAACTGGGCGAGGTTTTCAAGTATAAAACTTTTCATGACAGTTGCAAACACTGGACTAACTCAATGAATGTATTCTTCAGAGGACCCTGGGCAGTTAGAATTCTGTGTTGCTATTTACACAAACAAAAGTCATTCCCCTCTTGTTTCTTAGAGAGTTGCCCCGCCATGTGGCCCTGGAGAAAAGGCTGAATGCTGAATTCATGAGTGAAGAAACTAAGTATTTTTTGAAATCAATGGTAATCTGTGTCTCAACTCCTGCCCCAAACTTCAGAAGGCGGCAGGTTCTGACACCTTTTCCTATCCAGAGGCAGATAGCATGGAAAATAAAGCTGTTTCCCTCTCCCCTCTTAGTACATCCCCGAACCTATGCCCCACACTCTCTGGCTAACACACTTCTTGAATTAATGTGTAGAGAGTTTCCCAAGATCAACACTGACATCTTTCATCAAAGCCTTAATTCAAAGCTAGCTGGTATTTTAAGGTAACAGAACCAGCTGTGCACACAGCATGTTTGCCTGAGACACCTCGGCAGGATCCAGGCTTCTTAATATAATCATTCAAGCACGAATGAGCCCAGCAGCTCCCTGGAATCTCTGACCAGATAAAGGCCGACAGGCAGCACTACTCCTGTGCGTTTTGCATTCCACCTTGAGTCCAGCTGTCTTGACCCTCTGGGAATTTCTTTCTATGTAATTCCAAGTATTTCAACCCAGCAGCTCAGACTCCAGCAATTTGACAGTTCAATTAATATTGTCATACCCAGATAAATGGGACTATAAAACATCCATGTGCCATTACAATATGGCCTATTTTTAGGAGCCACCCAAACTAGGGCAGGGTCTCAGAGGTCGCGAAGCCTTTGGATTTACGAATTCTTGGTCAGAGAAAGGTCTCTCCTGCTCTCGGGTGCCCTTCCTCCTGTGTTCTAGCAGATGATCAATTACTAGTGACATAGGTCAGAAAGGATGTTTATCTGCTTCATCTCTCCCAGAACCTCATCCCTAATGAGATACCTTTCCAAATGCTTTGCAGCATCAGACTCTAACAAAACTTCTATCCTCCGGAGACTGGGAAGTGAGGGTAAACAGATGGCCCTTTGCTTCTGTCATCATTGCCCCACTTGTTTAAAAAGTGGTTATTCTCATCGGGACCAACATGAATACAATCTGAGTATTGGGAAAGGGTTCTCTCATGAGACTACCTGATTCCGGAGACTGTACAAGCTGAGGGAACTGACCCTCTGAAGTTGGGCGAGAAACAAAAGAGTTTCCAGGCTTTGGAGATACCAAGCAGATGTTATGTGAGACCGCTGCAAAAACTGAGATAAAATATTTTTTAAATAAAGTAAAACAACCTCATTTCACCACATTATTAGGCTCTGAGATGATTGGAGAAATGACATTGACTCCCATTGAACTAGAAGCCTTCAATCTTGAGGTGATCAGGTGATTCCGCTGCTGTCATAATCCCTCTAAAAGTTCAAGATGGGCTTTTAATTGGATTCTACCTTGTTGAATCTATAGTTTATTCCTCAACTGTAGTCAAGAATGTGCCTGTTTGATCCTACTTTGTAGGGTGATTTGGAAGTTTCAGAATACACCTTAGATTTAGTTGGTGAGTCGAAGAACATAGAATGAACAATAACATTTTTCAAAAAGGTATTTGTTGTGTGACACTTCATGGGGTTCAACTTAATTCTGTGAAAGTATGACAGGATGAGATTCTCTTTGCCTTCACACACCCTTTCTGGAACTTGGAGCAAAACCATCTCCTTTTGGAGAGCGTGGCCACAGAGTGATAGAGGAGAATCTTTGAAATGCAGGGAAAAGAGGCCAAGACACTTAACAAATAATATTACAGAGTCATGCTCTCAGAATACTTGGAAAATAGCTACTTCTCTTCATGCCCTCTCCTCTCTACGCAGGACCTAAAACACACGTGGCACTACCACCTCCACTAGCACCCAGTCTGTTGAGAGGAACAGAAGTTTAGGAGGAAAAAAGAAGAAACCTTGGGAAATACAGAAGATCATAAGGGAGAAGAAGGGAGCGTACAAGCAGAAAAGGGAGACTTCCTAGGCCCATCGGAGGGCACTCGGTATGAACTGGAATAATCTGGAAGAGAAGAACTGATTTTCACCATCTTCAGAACTCCAAATGTGGTTGATCATCCAACAGTAAGGCTTTGATCCTAGACCCTCGTATACTAAAAATAGTAAGTGAAGGACTGCACATTCCTGTCCTCCAGACGTCAAGGGCATGAATAATTAAGAGATTCCACGTGGCTGGAAGTTATTGAGACGTCCCATTACACCAAATGGGGCCCATGGTTCACAGAATTAAACTACATTAAAAAATAAGAATAAAGTTCTTAGTCAAGATAACTCCAAAACCTCATGACTTGACTTCCCACTCTTCCAAATAATAAATGAAAACTGGAAGGGATGAGAGCCCGGCCGGCGTGGCTCAGTGGTTGAGCGTTGACCTATGAACCAGGAGATCACAGTTTGATTCCTGGTCAGGGCACATGCCCGGGGTTGCAGGCTTGATCCCCAGTGGGACATGCAGGAGGCAGCCAATCAATGATTCTCTCTCACCATTAATGTCTCTCTCTCTCTCTCTCTCTCTCTCTCTCTCTCTCTCTCTCTCCTTCTCCCTTCCTCTCTGAAATCAATAAAAATATATTTTTTTAAAAAATGAAAGGGATGAAACCATAATACAATATCTAGGCCCAAATATCTAAAGTCAGGGTTGAAGCTTGGGTCTGCTGGGTTCTAGAGTCAGAAGCAGTGTAGCCAGGACCTGCCAGAAGTAAGGCAGGGTAATAAGAACTAGAGGTGGAGCTCCAGTTGTGCAATTGGTTAGCGCGCGGTACTTATAAGAACTACAGGTGCTCCCTTTGCAACTAGGTATGGAGCCTGGTTCTCTGCATGAAGCCATTGGGACTGGGGTTTTCTTGATTATAGAAGGAGCTAGGAAATAAAAGGGTACTGACCTGAGATGGAGGGTATATCTTCGCAAGAAGCTGTGAGCTGAGGGAGATGGGAGCAAAGAGACAAAGTTTTAGGGCAAGAAACTAAGTTGATCATCGAAGCTCAATTTTAAGGTCTGGTAGGCCAAAGGTAAAGGCAAATATGAAACCAAAAACAAAACAAAAAAAACACTGTACATTGAGGAAGAGAAAAAAACAAAACAACAGTAAAGCTCCTACTTAAAATAAATCTTCAAACTGAAATACTAAAACACAAGAAATCAATGCCAAGAAAAGTTAGTCAACAAACCAGAATATAAATTTACTCCAGGTGAAATAAACTGTATAAGAGAATTTCACAAAAAAATAAGTGTACTTAGGATGGTCAGAGAGATAAATGAGAGAAAGATGCCATTGAAACTGATCAAAAATTTGTACTATAAAACACACAAAAATGAAAAAAAAAAGATCTGGTATTTATAATTTTAAAAGTTATTTGAAATCTTAGAAACAAAAAATATAGTCATTGAACATTTCAAAGACTAGAAACAAAGAGATAATTAATGAAATGAAAAATAAAGCAGATCAAGTAGGATGAGAACATCCCTGCAGGCAGGTAACCTGGCCTAAAGGAGTCAAAACCAAGCAGGATGAGGCTGCATAGGGCAGCTTGTATGTACGTATGCAATGTGTGTCTGTGCATGTGTACATATATATAAACACACCCATACATCTATGTCCACCTATCAGTTATGTGTAGATGTATATACACTCTGCCCCCCGAGAGGGCTTTGGGGCATGAGGGCAGCTAGTGCCAGATCTTGGCTTCTAAGTACTGTTCTGCACCGCAAGCTCCTTAGAAAAGCAGAGTATCCCAAGTCTGGAATAGGGGAAGTGGAAAAGGAGCCCGGGGCATCTTGTCATACCAGAAAGCAAGGAAAGGCTTCAAGTGTGATGAGGGCGTGTCAAAGGGACAGAGAAGCGAACTTAAATGGGCCCCCACTCAGCCTGGTAGTGTGAGGCCAAATGTGACCAGGTCAACAACGTCTCCTGGACACGAGGGGTCCCAGTCCAGCGTGGGAGAACAGCAGGTCAGGTGGCCCTCGGTGAGAAAGGACATGTTGGACCGAACTGGTTTGGTTGTTTTCTTATACCCTGTGAAGAGCCCCGTGATAGAAAGCAACATCGTGAAAAACAATTGCTTGCAGCCTGCCCCTCCTATGAAAGTTTTTAAGAGAGTTTGAAGCTTTAAAATCCCAGATATGGATATTAAGGTTAATTCTTTTTTTTTTTAATTCTGATCTTTGTGATGAGGCCAGCTGTGAAATGCCCTCCCTGCCTTTTAAGAGGTCTCTGACTCATATTTTCATTTAACAGAATCATAGAAATTAGGAATGGAAAAGATTCGTTAAGTCACCTTGTACTTGCCCCCTGCCAAACGGACATTGTTCCCCTAGGTCTGTGGACTCCGACTGCTTCCAGGCATGCTTGCAATGGAGCGGTGGTCCCCTGCCTCGGACAAGGACCCCACATCCTAACAGTTTTTCTACTAGAAAAAAAAAGTCTCCCCTGATACTCAAACCCTACCAGTCCTTTGGTAATTTTTTTTCATCATATTTTGTAGTTATAGTTTCTTTTCCAATTCCCCATAAAATGGGGAAACTGCCTTTGGTTCTATAACCATTAAAGTATGCCCAATCTAAAACACTGAGTGATAATTAAGTTTTTACTCTAGAAACATGTCTAACATGTGCCCAATGCCAATGGTGAAAAGAAACAAAACTGGGAGGGGAAAAATAGTGAGTTACAAGGATCCTAGAATATGCAGAATTTTGTGTGACCCAGAAAATACCTATTTTATGAGACAGTGGTAGAGCTTCCATTAGCTTATCAAAAAAGTGGCCCCAAAAGTGTAGACCCATGGCTGGGAATGAGGTTACAGAGGAGAAATGGAATGAAGTCTTGAGCTGGTAGTAGGTCAGGGGCACGTTCTTGAATCTGCTGCCAACTAACTGTGTGGCTCGAACAAGTCTCTTCGCTGCTCTGGGCTTCATTTCTGTCTTTGAGAAAGGAAGGCAGAGAGAGAAAGATGGCAAGGGATAAAGGGGAAGTTGAATTCGATGATTTCTAAGGTCCCCTTTAACTCATGGAATCCTATTTCGTGAGGAACATCACCAATCTTTAAATCCTAGTGCTGAAAGCGCCCCCTATGGGCTGACAGCCACCAGTGCATTCCGACTCCTGCCCCTCTCCCAGACCGGACCTTTGACAAAGACCTGCTATGTGCAAGTAGCACCAAGACACCCCAGTAGAGATAGGCATGAGCTCCACTCCACTCCCCAGCCACACTCAACATCACAGCACCCAGCTTATGAATAAAGTTCCTCGGTCTTCCTGTCCTTGGTCTTCTAAATCGCTCCAGAATGGAAGCCCCTGTGCTTTACATGGAGATTGCTTTGAAAGGGCTATTCGTTTTCCTTCCATTTCTTCATTGATTCCACGAGTATTTACTCAGCAGCTACCATGTGCTAGGCAATAAGCTACATCCTGAGACACTGCTGTAAACAAGACCAGCCCCTGTACCCAAGAAGCCTGGGGTGGCTACTGGCTTGGTTGAACTGAGAGGAGAGAACGGGCTGGGGCTGGCATTCAAATAAGGAGGGAGAGAGACTTCCAGGGAAGGGTCATTCTGGCACCCTTCCAGAAGTGAGAATGAAAACTTTCGCCCACGTTGCACTATGCCCCCTGATCAGGAAAGATTCTAAGGTTTTGTGTTTTTCAGTTTTTCTCCCACTAAACCCCAGCATACCGGGTTAGCACATGGATACTGCTCTCTCCAGGAACAGGATTCCATCCCACTGCGAGCCAGCTGACTTCACTGGCCTACACCTAGTAACACTAATCCTGCTGTTATGTTTCCTGCGGGGGAAGAGCAGACGGGCTCTGTCTCTTTCCCCAAACGGCTAATATTTCTTGCCTGTGTTCTTTTCCTTTCAAGTTAGCATCTCGTTCTGGTGAAAAAAGCATTTCTCTTACTCAAGAAAAAAAGCCTGCCAAATAGAAAGCATTCTCTCCTGGCAATACCAAAATACACGGAATTCTATACTTACACAGGTTAGCATTTCTTTCTGGTGGTGATACTTGCCTGGACCAAAATTTAAAGTTTACAAAATAAAGACTCACAGCAGTGAAGGAAGTGCTCACTGAACAGATGGTACCAGCCATTCAGACTGCGCCTCAGTGCCATCACCACCCACGGACCTGCAGGAGACATTCCCCACCCACCAGCCACTCAGGGAAAAGACTCCAACTCATTGAAGGACATGCCCGGCCCACACTGCCGCAGCCCCCAGCCATGGCAACGTAACAGGGATAAAGCAAATTGTACTCATTCACTGTAAGTGCACGCAATAACATCGATGAATCACTTGAGGTGAAGAAGGAGACCCCAAGTGTCACTCAAATAGCAAAGATGGTCCCTAAATCGCCTGATATGTGGAGAGGGTCCCATTGGCTGAAGGGCCCTTTGTTCCTGTCTCATTTGAAGTTAGATGCCAGGGCAGGCTGACCTGTGTGGTATAAAACAGAGGCCAGGAGTTCTCCAAATAAAGAGGAGGTGAGATGTGGAAGAGGCCAAGGTGGTTGGGGTTTGTGAAGGGAAGGAGCAGAGAGTGGGGAGATAAGGGAGCAAGGCTACGTAGTAGATGGGGGAGAAAGGCAGTGCCTGGTGAGGGATTTTAAGTTGTTTTGACATGAGAAATGCCTGTACCCTGGATTTTCTCCGTGAAAGCTATGAAAAGTCAGCAGAGCGCACTGAGGTTTCGGTGCAAACAGATTATTTGGGGTTCGAAGTGAAAACAGAGTGGAGTGGGTAGTCCAGACCCAGGACTGGAAGATGAAAGGCCACATGGCTCACCCATCTCCATCACCTCCCCCCTGCCCACCGACCCTGTGAGGAGGGCTCCAGGCAGGGGAGGGAGGGCAAGGTCCTGTGTGTAGGCTCGCCCATGCTCAGCGGGGTCTACTGTCCGAAATTCAAACCTGTGAAGTGTGACACCACGCCCTTCCAGCAGGGGGTGCCTGATCCAGCCCCACCCAGGAATAGCCACTTTCAAATGACAGGGGCCATGGCTCATGGAGTTAGCAATGACATCTGCCTCCTGCGGGGGAGAATGTGCCGCTTGTGGTTACCGGGCCAGCTTGGTGGGTGTGTGGCCTGTGCACAGGGCCCCACGCTTAGAAGGGCCTGTCCTTGGTTTCATGCTCAGCCTTGGCATGCCTCATCGTTTTAGAGCAAGTCCTCCTGCATGCTCCTTCTTTCACTGGGTCCTGCAAATTATGCAGCCAGTCCCGGCAGTCACTGCCGCTCTGCCAGCAAAGCCCGGACAAAGAAACCACATTAGACCGTGTGAACAAGAGGGTCAGAGCGAGGTCAGCAGTTAGGGGTGAGGCCCCCTGATGTTGTTACTAGGAACCCTGACCTTGGGGTTGAGATCTGGGTCCAAGGCCAGGCTCTGTCATTTTCAGCTGGGTGTTCCTGGATAGATGTCAGCATGTGCCTGAGCCTCGGTTACTTATTCACTGGTTCCCTCAAGTGGGAAAAGCAGATGTATGTTTTGATAGGGGGCATCCACAATGCTCAGAGAGCAAAGAGAAGGGACGCATGATGCTCCCTAAGGAGGGAGAGGGGGAGCTGGGAGGGGCAGCTGAGGGAGGGGAGTGGGCTTAGAGGAAGGTTTCCGAAGTGTGGGGACCCTGCCCATTGTTCAGTATTTCTATTCCAAGTATGCACCCCATAACTGGGGATATAACCCCAGGATGTGAGGGGGGACTCAGGGGGCCCACTGTGAGCTGGACCTGAGCTAAAACCCCAGTGCCCTATGCTGACTGGCGGGCCACAGTGGCATTTTGGGTCTCCTGGAACCAGCGTCAGTTCTGAGCCGGTGGCCAGGAATATTTGAAATGTCAGGTAGTTTCCTTTCTCCAGTGCACACGCCCCTGGGGAGAGACTGCGTCCTTTAGGAAAGGGAAGAGAACCTGCGCTGCTGCAAAATGGCACTGTT